TACAGGCTTGAGCCACCACACACAACCTCTTTCCTATTTTTCACTCACCCTATTTCTACCTCCTCCCTCTAAATACAAAGGAATAGAGATGGGAAGACGGGAATTCAAAGCAGGATTTTCTATATCAAGAATATAAGTGTGGGAAGACATCACCCTTCTGCAAAAATAAGGGTATATATTAGCCAATGATGCCCTCCATTATCTTCCACCACCATGCCCAAAGAACTCCACTTCATTAGGGCCCAGGGCATAGCTCAGTATGCTGCGTGTGCATGGTCCTAAATTTGATTCTTGGTATGGGGTGTGTGCGAGAGGTTCCACTTAATTAAGTCCATTAGTATGAATATTGAGATGATACTGTCAGGGTATTTGTCCATTCAAAAGCAAAGACAGGCTGACTCAGGGTGGCCAGTGGGATGCTGAAGAAAACATCCTTCAAGTCCAATACAGTGTAGACCCGATGCTCTGGAGGCAACGGCTCAACAGGGTACAGGGGTTTGGCATAGGATGGATAGTCTCCATTTGATGATTTATCTCTCTCAAGTCTTGCATTGGCTGGTAATCCTAGGTTCTGGGTATCTGGATTGGCAAGAATGGGATGTTCCAAGGGTACCTGCAAGGAGTCAATATACCTGCCTTCATGAGTCTCTGCATGTGAGGAGCAATTCTGAGTCTGGACTTCTGGTTCATGGGATATTGCCTCATTCTGATTGTGGTGGCTGTTCCCCGAAGAGTTATCACTACTGGGGGTGGGGGGTGATGAGCCGCTGGTCCAGGGGGTTGGTTTCAGCCCAGACACCCAGCTATTCAGGTTGTAGCTGCTGCAAAAGAAAACTAGGAGCGGGTACTGCCTCTGCATCAGGAAATATCAGATACTCCTCAGCCAAGGCAGTGGTCAATACCAACTTTGGGTTGGAGGCTAGGGTCAACTGAGGTCCAGTAGGGGCAAAGGAAATTGTAGTCCTTAACTTCAGATCATGCCCTAGCAAGGGGAGGGGGTACTCGGGGACTACCAGGAAAGTATGCATAACCTGTTTATGCCCCAAGTCCACAGTCCTTTCAACAGTCATTGGTATTTCTTGTTATCTCCTGTGGCCCCTTGGATAGTAACAGCCTGGCCCGAGAGAGGTCCAGATGATATCTTTTAGAACAGAAATTTCATCTCCTGGGTCTATAAGGAACTGAGTTGAGTGGCCCCCTGCTGTTGCAGTGGCTATGGGCTCCTAGGGACCAAGGGCAAAGACTTTTCCCTCAGCAGGGATAACTAGCACTCTCTTCTTCTTTTTTTCTTTTTGAGACATGGTCTCACTATGTAGTGGAGACTGACCTGGAACTCACTATGTAGTCCAGGCTGGTCTGAACTCACAGTGATCCTCTTGCCTCAGCCTCCCAAGAGCTGGGATTACAGGAGTGTGCCACCCACACCTGGCCTAGAGTTCTCTTCTTTTCCTTCCTTCCCACTGTACATCCAGTCTTCCAATGTCCAAATTGTTTGCACATTGATTCCTTCCTAATTAGGCTGCCTCTTCTCGGCCCCTTCTTCCTGGTTGTCTCACCCCACTGGTTGACCCCTTATGATGCAGCTAAAATCCTTTCAGCTCTGCTTTGCTGAGTCTCAATTATCATAAACCTTCTGGGCTATTTCCAGCAACTGGAAAGTATTCATTCCTGCAAACCCATCTAATTTCTGTAACTTTCTCCTAGTATCAGGAGCAGACTGTCTGAGAAAAGCCAAATTCACCCCCTAGGTATTTTCCGAGGCCAATGGATTGAAAGAAGAATACACTTGGACCCTACATCTGGCCAGCCTATGATAAAAGTGGACCACCCTACTTCACAGAGGGTTCATAGTTGACTCTTTTTCATAGCCACACCATAGTGGCCAGAAAAACCGTCAGAGAAGTGGGACAACGGGCAGGGGAGGGGAGTTTGGGAATAAACCTGGGGAGCTCCCATAGTAAAAGGAAAAAACACAGTCAGACTAGCAGTCAAGAAAAGGATCAAAAGAAATCTTGAGCTGGGTGTGATGGCTCATGCCTGTAATCCCAGCACTCAGGAGGCAGAGGCAGGATTGCCTCGAGTTTGAGGCCAGCCTGAGGTACATAGTGAGTTCAGGGCCAGGCTGAACTGTAAAGTGAGACTCTATCTCAAAAAAACAAAACAACCAAAAAAAGAAAAAAAAAAGAAAGAAAGAAAGAAAAAGAAAGAAAAAGGAAAGAAAGAAAGAAAGAAAGAAAAAGAAAGAAAGAAAGAAAGAAAGAAAGAAAGAAAGAAAGAAAGAAAGAAAGAAAGAAATCTTGAATTCAAGAGTTCAGGTCCAGGGACTGGTGAGATGGAAGGTGAATCTGTCTTGAGTCCTGGACATCCAAAAAATTGACCTATAGGCCAAAAGTAGGTTAAGAGAGCCCAAGGATGGCGTAGAAGGGGGTTTCCAAGCTAATGCGTGAAGTATGGGATACAATGCCCTGGAAACCAGGCCACCCTGATCAGTACCCTTACAGTGACTCCTGGTTGTCACTGAGCCTTCACCCTCCACCTTGGTCCTAGTCACCTGCTCCATTCCTGCAGCCCCGTGGGACTCAGTGACCTCCCCCCCAGGTCCTACTGCTGTTGGATAATGGGAATGATGAATCGCTTCCCCCATATAACATCCCTAGACCTGCGGCCTCAATATTCCTTCACACAACCACATTAAAGGTGATAATGCCACTCCCAAAAACAAATGAATTCCCCAAAAGCCTTATCCCTTAATGGCCGTAGAAGGGTTAGAAGACAGAGTTCCTCTAAGGAGGGAGGCCTCTCATGGCAAGAAGGCAGAAATCAGATTAAGGTCAGGGTCGAGTGACTGAAACCTCTAGGATTTGAGGGCCCAACCTGAAGCTTTAGGAGAGGTTATTCTCACAAAATCTTCACTGTATGAGATGAAGGGGGGCATTTTTCCAAGAGGGAAAATAGGCGAATGACAGAACAGATGAATTAGGAGGAGAACTTCATTATTCTCCAGGACACAAAAGCTACAGCAGGAACTGACCTTGTGATGAGAAGAGGTTAGACACGGAGGAGGTGCCAAACACTTAAGACCAAGACGAAAGGGACAATTCTTTGGACCAAAACCAAGTCTCTAAATTAACTCTATCTATCCCTTTCTAGATTTTTTCTCACCAAGCGTCAAAAACAATTCAGGTCTCAGACAGTGTGGACACAAGACATGACCAGACATGAAACAAAGCCTTAGCCACCACTCAGCTGCCTGTGATCGACACTACTGGCCACTGAGGGTCCCCTGCCAACCTCTCATCTCCAGTCCTTGATCAGCCAGGGACTTCCGCAATCGGCATCCCGACCTTTACTTGGGACAGTTCAGAAAAGCCCTTGTCAGGGTGGTCCTTCTCCCAAAACCAGAAACCACAAACAGACAAGAGTCACTTATCTCCAAGTGGAGGATTCCTGAGGACTCCGAAATTTTGTCATGATTGGTGTTCCTTCCAAGTCCCTCTGGCTCCCAAATAAATAATAATGTTTTTAAAATAATAATGTTTTTTAAAAACATTTTTTAGAACAATTCCCACTGACAGTGTTGTAGCTAAGGATGAAGTTAAAACAAGCCTAGCTTTCTTGTTTGTTTTGTATTTTTGTTGTTTTTTTGAGATAGAGTCTCACTTTACAGTTCAGCCTGGCCCTGAACTGATGGTGCACCAGTGATCCCAGCACTTGGGAGGCTGATGCAGGAGGATCAGAGGCTGTTCAAGGCTAGCATGGGCTACATAGTGAGTTCAAGGCCAGATTGAACTCATAGCAAGACTCTGTCTTACTCCCCCACCACACACATAAAGTTAAGACATATCTGTCAGACTTTCAGCCAAACTGTTGATTAAAATATTCTTGGATTTTACTGTTTAATTCAACTAACAAACATTTGTTTATGTGTAGGCGTTGGTTGTCATAAAATTGAGTAAAACAATGAGCTCTCTTCCCAGTAGCAGAGACATTCATAAAAAGGTAATATCACAATTTTTTTTCAGGTGTTAAGGATCGCACCCAGGATCTGATGCATGCTTGGCAAGTGCTCTCACTGAGCTACAGGCCCAATCCCAATCTCAAAATTTGACTGGAGGAGGCAGAGTGTAGTCTGCTGGGACAGTTTCCTAAAGACAGTCCCATGTTCTGTCCTAAGACTTCAGCAAGAAAGGCAGAGTGATAATCTTTAATTTTTAAACTCATTTCTTTCTGGTACATAGTTACCTTGGATTCCCCCCATCTCTACTGGAGATTAAAAACGGCTGAGCTACAACTCCAGCCTTTTTTTTTTTTTTAGCTAGAGACAGGGTCTCGCCAAATTACTATAATGCCCAGGCGGGGTCGAGAGCTTGCGATCTTCCTGCCTCAGTATCCCAGAGCGCTGAGATTACAGGCACTCGCCACCGCGCCTATCTTGGCTTTTAAATCTATTTATTGAGTGGAGAAGCTCAAGTTCCCTAACCCTCCTGCAGGAGTGCTAGGCACTCACTTATTGCCCTTCTTCCCACAGAGCTTAGGCCACGCCCCTCAGGTTCTGGCGCTAAATTTGAGCCAATAAAGCTCAAACAGGGCTAACGAAGAGAAGTTATCGACTAACTGGCGGTCACCTATAATGCAAACAAAAGTCTTTTAGTGGTGTCTTCGGTCCAATGAGAAGCAGATGACGCTCAGGGACAGAGGGCGCGCAGCCTCCTGACACCAGTAACCAGTGAGCAGAAGCAGTCCAGCCCCAACTCCTGGGCTGGGAGTAGCGCGATGGGCCACCCTTCCAATGGCCAGTTGAACCTCGAGTCACGTGCGGTTTTTGCAAGTTCAGCCTCTCCTGGCAGGTCATGTGACAGTGACGTTAGCGCAGCATTCGCCAATGGAGAAAGACAATTGTCTTCACAGACCGGGAACTGGGTTGCCTCCACCAATGACCGAGCGGCGGGGGCGGGGATAGCCTGTCGCGTGCTGCGGGACGGAACTGGGCGGGGCCGGCCGCTAGTTGCGGGGCGAGTTGGGAGCTGGGTGCGCAGGCGCGTTGGGGACCCGGTAGCAGTGGCGGTGGTGGCGGTGGCAGTGGCGACGGCTGGGAAGAGAACTGGAGAGCTGACCCTGGAGGGAGACACCCATGGCGGCAGATGGAGAGCGTTCCCCGCTGCTGTCCGACCCCATCGACGGTGGCGCCGGCGGCAATGGCTTAGTAGGGCCAGGCGGGAGTGGGGCTGGGCCCGGGGGAGGCCTGACCCCCTCCGCACCACCATACGGAGCCGGTAAACATGCCCCGCCCCAGGGTAAGCCGGGGCGGGCCCAAGTTGTTCCCTGGGGTTCGCGGAGAGGCCGGAGGGGGCGGGGCCCGAGCGCCTGGTGCGGGACTGTTGCACCTGTGCCTTGGGAATAACTGTTTTCCTCTGCCATGTCCCCCGAGCCTGGAAACGGAGGAGGGCTCGGAGGTAGCCGAGAGAAGCACCGATTATGAGAAACCCACTGAGTTTGGTCAGGAGGACTGAAGATCAGATAGTGTCCAACCCCCAAAGAGCGTCGGGGATGGGTTTTGCAAGTGATCCCAGCCCCTTCTTTTTTTGTTTCCTTAGCATTTCCCCCCTTCCCTGAGGGGCATCCCGCCGTGCTGCCTGGGGAGGACCCGCCCCCTTACTCGCCCCTGACCAGCCCTGACAGTGGGAATGCCCCTATGATCCCCTGCCGAGTCTGCCAGTCTCTCATCAACGTGGAAGGCAAGATGCATCAGCATGTAGTCAAATGTGGTGTCTGCAATGAAGCCACCGTGAGTTATATATAACTGCAAAATGGGCCCTGTTTCCTGGATCCTCTTTCTGATCTCTTGATTCTAGTCTCCGACTAAGGGCTCTTCACAAAACTTAGTTTCAGTTCCAGTAATCTCATATAGCCATTTCCCCAAAAGCCACTCACCAAAGCTAATGTTCACTTCACTGTCACACCTATTCTGGATATTTAAATGTAGTTCTCATTTGCAGATCTCACTTCATTTCTTCTCCCTAGCTAGGACCTTAACTCACTGATACCGTCCAAGAGAGTGTGCTTGGAAGGAATTGGAAGGGATTGGGATTAGAGGTTTGCTTGCTGATGTCTCTTTTGTCCTTTAGCCAATCAAGAATGCACCCCCAGGGAAAAAATATGTTCGATGTCCCTGTAACTGTCTCCTTATCTGCAAAGTGACATCCCAACGGATTGCCTGCCCTCGGCCTTACTGGTAAGAGGCATACGATGGGGACGAGTTTAAGTAGGGAAAATTGGGAAGCCAAAAAAAAAAGAAAGATGTTTATAGAAAATGTGAAAGTGAGAGAGCTTGGTGTTTATCTACAAGGAGAAAAAAAACTGATGAAGCATTGTTCCCTAGAAATACTGTACTGTGGCCATCTTCATCTCAGTGACAAGAATGGGATGAAATTGTTCTGTAGGGAAATAGCTAGGGAGGGGGTGAATTACCCTGAGATGAAAGGAGAATTGAAGACCCAAGTTTAAGTAGTCCCGTTTCTCATAAGAGTCTCTGCTATAAAATTGGGGGACTTAAAATTTTACAGGTACAGAGAAAGTAGAGGGACTTTATAGAGGCAGGGAGTGGATATGTGAAGGAAGAACAGTGCGGGAAATTTTAGAACTAAAATTTTCAAACATAGCATTTTCTTCCTGTATAGCAAAAGAATCATCAACCTGGGGCCTGTGCATCCAGGACCTCTGAGTCCAGAACCACAGCCAACGGGTGTTAGGGTCATCTGTGGACATTGCAAGAATACTTTTCTGGTGAGGAGGGAATACTGGAGTACCATAAGGAATAATACAGTGAATCCTGAAAAAGTCTGTCCTGTAGGGACACATTCTCCCGTCCCGAAGTTCTCATTGAAGAAGACCTTCCTTCTACAATTACTTTTTCTTTTTCCACAGTGGACTGAGTTCACAGACCGAACGTTGGCACGTTGCCCCCACTGCAGGAAAGTGTAAGTGATTAGGGATTGATCTGGCAATTTGGTGATGTGTTGAACAAAAACACCAGAGCTGTTATGACAGAGTGCCAAGCCAATTTGTTTGCTTCCTCACAGATCATCTATTGGGCGCAGATATCCGAGAAAGAGATGCATCTGCTGCTTCTTGCTTGGCTTACTCTTGGCAGTCACTGCCACTGGGCTTGCTGTGAGTAACCTTGACCCAACCCTTTTCATTCATCAGCTTCCTCCAAGGTTAAGATTTGGGAATCGGTAACCTAAAAAAAAAAGTGACAGACATTGGAAGTTTTAATGTATAGAGGAGCTAAAGTTATGTGACTGTCTTGTCACTAAGGAAAAATTTTTTTTAAAGCTTGTCTTTCTGTAGAAGTGAGGGCAGTAGAGAAATGGTTGAAATTGAGTTGCTATTAGGCCTAGTTCCAATTTCAATAGTAAATGTAACTGTACTGTATACCTAAAATGTACCAATAAACTCAATGAGGAAAAACAAAGAATTACTGACAAATGTCTGGGATGGTAGGACTATTTTCCTGTCTGGGGGAAGGGCCTTTTCAAATGTCCCTGAAGGTGTTTACTTGTGGCTAAGGAACAGGGACCAAAGTGAGCTGTTAACTATTACTAGGCTTCTTGGTAGTAGGACATGAAGAGTAACCTCATCTTTTTCTCCCTTCTTCTTAGTTTGGTACATGGAATCATGCACGACGATATGGAGGTATATATGCAGCCTGGGCATTTGTGATTCTGTTGGCTGTGCTGTGTTTGGGCCGGGCCCTTTACTGGGCCTGTATGAAGGTCAGCCACCCTGTCCAGAACTTCTCCTGAGCCCCTTGATGATCCAGACTGTTCCTGGCCCCTCCCTGGTGGGGACAGTGACACTACAAAGGGAGTTGGAGTAAAAGGCTCCCTGGGCTTCGTAAAGAAGCCAGGCAGCTGCCTTCCTTTTCCCAGGGGAGAGGTAGGAAGGAACCAGGCCCTCACTTAGGTTTGGAGGGGTAGATAAAACCACTGCTGGCCTTCTGCTTTCCTCCAAGGGTTGCTGTGTTTAGGGTGAAGTGGGCAAGGTACTGCCCCTAAACCTGAGTCCTACCGATGGTCTACCCTTGTCCTTCCTATATGCCCCCTGAGAGCCATTCCTGTCCCTTACACATTCCAGGGCAGGGTGGGGGTGGGTAGCCCTGGGGGTCCCCCTACCTCTCGTGCACCATTTAGGACCTTGCTGCTGTTATTGCACTTCACCAGGGGCTGGCTCTGACCCAAGTACCCCGTCTCCTCTCCCCACATTCCATGTCCTGTGGGGGTGGGGTCAGCCGCTGCTCTGTACAGAACCACAGGAACTGATGTGTATATAATTATTTAATGTGGGGTATATTCCCCAGTCCTGTTTCCCTTAATTCCTCCTTCCAAACTTCCTTTACCCCCCCACCCCCAGTTGCAGTATTTAACTGGGCTGGGTAGGGCTGCTGTCTTGGGAAGTTAGGGACTTATCCTGTGCTTGTAAATAAATAAGGTCATGACTAACCTTTTTCAGTTGTTAACTTGTATGAATAAAAAGGAAATTTGTAGCCCCACACAAGGGTAAATAAAACAGCCACACAGGTAAAACATACAACACAGTAAGGCTGAAACTATGGCCTTTTATTTATACGTGGATATTTCAAAGAAGTTATCAGAATATAAGGATTCACACACAAGCCTTGGGCTTAAAAGAAACCCGTCACGTGCCTGGTCAAAGGATTCATATTCTCATAGAAGAGAATGTCAGGATGTTTTAGAGAGCAATTTAAGGAGTATTTTTGCATGGTGGGGGCATTTCCAGGCACACAATGATTCAAGAATGTGTCACAGTGCTAAGTACAGGGTGATGGGACAGTGATCACTGCCAAGAGCCTTGGAACGGATCTTGCTGTCACACAATGCAGGTAAAAGTGAATGGGACAACAAAAAGTAATCAAGACGCCAACCTACATTCTTGGACCGAGCATTCATCATGTAAGTCCAAAAGGTGTAGGCATAGGCAGCATTAGGGTAGAGGTGACGAAAGCTGTCAGTCATTGGCACAGCCTGCAGTAGCTCCCCAAAGCCTTGGCGCTCCTGTGGGGTGAAGCCAGCATTCTTTTTATTTCCCTTGGGGTTACGAAGATCAATTTCCTCATGAGCCACATTGAGGTCCCCACATAGTACAAGAGGCTTACGGGAAGCCAAGTCCTTCAGGAAGTTGCGAAAGGCTTCATCCCAGCGCTGCCTGTACTCCAACCTTACCAGACCCCGGCCTGCATTAGGTACATAGGCTGTAACCAGCACAAATGAGTCAAATTCAGCCACAATCACCCGGCCTTCCTGGTCATGTTCCTCCTCACCTAACAAATGATGAAAACAACGTTAAAATAATAAAAGCAGGGGGAAAAAAAAAAAAAAAAACACTGAGGCAGGGTCAGGATATTAACAATTAGTTTAAAACAGCTTGGGCCTTAGGAATCAATAGGGTCTCACCAATGCCGTAAGTGACTTTGAGTGGGCACTGGCGGGACAGTAGACCCACACCACTATATCCTTCTTTGTCAGAAGGCGCTGACCAGTACTGATGGGATAGTCCAGTTAGCTCCTGAAGTTCAGCCGGGAGTTTGTTCTCTGAACATTTGGTCTCTTGGAGGCACAGGATATCTGGGGCTTCTTCCTTTACCCACTGTGAGCAAAAAAGAAAGGCAGAAAAAGTATTTCCAGTTCAGCGAATATTTATAGTTCATGTGGTAAATACTAGCTATCCTTGTGCATAAAGAATTCAACAAACATTAATAATTATGAATTATGTGATTGAGAACTTATGAAGGTAATTAAAGTCATAGGTAAGGATAGGTGTGATAAGGAGTTTTTTTTTTTCTTGAGATTAACACAGGGCCTTTGCACTGCGCCACATCCTCAGCCTTTTTAAAAATTTTGTGAGATAGAGATTCACTAAGTTGCCCTGGGTGAGCTTTAATTTTCAATCCTCCTGCTTCAGCCTCCCACAGTGCTCGGAATATAGGTTTGGGTCACCAGTTAAGATTTTAAAGCTATAATTATAAGAACACAGTATAGCTTCTCATGGGGCACATGCCTATAATTCCAGGACTTGGGAGGATGATGAGGCAGGAGGACTGCTGTGAGTTTGAGGCCAGCCTGAGCTACATAAGGAGACAGTACCTCAAAAGACTGGAGAGAAAACGGAGAAAGTCCAGAAAAGAGATTTTTGTAACATTCTGGGAACAGAAAGGAACATGAAACAATGCAATAGAACTGAAAGAATGGACATATACAATACAGGCAAGATTTGGTCTCATTCCCCTCATCTTTTGTTTGTTTTGAGACAGGGTCTCACTATGTAGTTCTGACTGCTCCGGAACTGTATAGCCCAGGCTGGGCTCCAACTCACAGCGATCGTTCTGCCTCAGCCTCCCAACTGCTGGGATCAAGGTGTGCGCCACCACGCCCAGCTCATTCCCTCATATTATTCCTTCTGTAAGAAAATTCATATCCCAGCTGGCTGTGGAGGCACATGCCTGTAATCCAGCACTCAGGAGGCCAGCATGAATCACAAAGCGAGATCTTGCCCCTTAATAAAGAAAACGCCTATCCTGGGAACTGAAATGAGAAAAAGTGATTAAATTCCAAGATCATTATTCAGTGTTAGGGAACTTCTCCTGCCCTGCCTGAATTCCACTTACATCTAAACCCTTCTTCTTAATCCAGGCTCGAAGCCCATCCACATTCCAGGAGCTTATCTTCAGTGTGGCAGATTTGCCACTAGGTGAGGTTTTCTTATCTGGAGGATCCTCATACAGGACTGGGCCTTCTCCTGCTGCCTCTTTTTCGTTTTTCTTTGCTCCCACCTTACTCTTCTTGGCCTCTGGCTCTACAAAGTAAGACATAATGGAAAAAGCGATTTCCACCTTCAATCAAGAATTAACTGCAGACCCATAGAAAATATACAGTTGCCCTGATTTGTCAAGTAAAAAGTTGTAACTCGCTCTGTATCGTTCACGTAAGAAATTAATACCGTGCCCTGCCCCGCCCCGCTTGTAGGAAGACGGGTTCATTTAATTCTCCTACCTCTCTTGGGCTCTTCCCCATCTTCTGCCACTGATCCCTTTTTCCCCCGCTTTGGCATCCCTGTAACGAAAGCCCTTCGGCACCTGTACCACGTCGCCCACCGAAACAGTATTTTCACCGCGTGGTCTGTAGACGCAAAGAAAGCGTGGAATCAGAGCTAAAGTGAAGACTCCTCCCTCGGTCTTCCCCGTCCAGGTCCCGCCTTTCAAACCACTTGATCTCTGAAGCACTTCCCGGCTTTCGGGAATCACGGGCCCTGCAGCCCCCCCCCACCAACATTTGAGTGCCTTGCATTCTCCCAAGATCTGCCTTTTGGCCACCTGAAGACCTTAATGAAGAGTCTGGACTCAAGCTTGCCAATCAGGACTCCTGAGAATCCCGTATTAGTAGAGCAGAACAGCAACTCTGCACCTGACCTGCTCCGGCACTAGCGTGCTTTCTCCTTATCTGAGCACAAAGAATCAAGCACGCTGGGTTCCCACGTGGGTAACAGGCGCGGTCACGTGACCCGACGACCGCCCCCGTAGGCCCAGGAGTGCGGGTGATTGGGCTGTTTGGAATCACGTGAAGAAAAGCCCCTCCTCTTTATAGTTTTATCTGGGAGTGAAGGCCCCAGCACTCCATTTACTGGCTGTTTATGGATGTGCCGGTTTTGTGACTCATCCTGCCACCGTGACCAAAGAGCATGTACAGAAGGGAAGAAAACAGTAGGAAGGCTGGTCTGGGCCTCAGGGGACCGGCAGGGAAACGGTTAGGGTCGTGAGGCGCAGAGGCCGGTTCAGCGGCGCTGGCAGATGCGAAGACAGATCCTTGAAGGGGCCTTGACGGCAGCTGCGCTGTCGGCGCGCGCGCGCCTCCTGCTGGAGTTCTGGTATTGTGTCGGTGCGCCCTTGTTTGTGTTTGCCAGGCGGACTCCCTTCGCCTGCGCTCCGTAGTCTGCGGCCCAGCGCGCGCTGACTAGGGCCGCTGTAGCGCCACGAGTCATTGGGAGCTCTCCCGGCGTTTTCTCCCAGACTACACCATGCCGGTGGTGCTAGGTCTTGAAGGCAGCGCCAACAAGATCGGCGTGGGAGTGGTGCGGGATGGCGAGGTGCTGGCGAACCCGCGGCGAACCTACGTTACGCCTCCAGGCACAGGTGAGCAACGTGTAGGGACAAAGTCAAGGATCCCTTCCCTGCACCCGTCTTTCTCAATTCTGGTGAAGTGGGTTATGGGGCATGTTTTCCTCCCTTTACATCTTTTGGTCTGCGTCTGATAGAGGCTATGTGACAGTCACTGTTGTAAGGTTGATGACTAGAAGGATCACTTGGACCTGGAATTTCTGGGTTCGTTCAGATTCTGAGTCCCTTTTATGTTGTAAACATTGAAAATTTACGAGCTTGCCTTGGAGTGAGACACAACACAGATATTTACACTACAGCATAATATGTGGTTCGCTAAGAATAGAATTCACAATATTTTAGGAGATGAAAGCAGAAAGACTCCTAGCTTAGGTGTCAAGACAAAACTGCCTGGCTTTAGTATATTTTTATTCCATAATGTTTTGGATATGTCCTTACTCTTAAAATGGGAATACTAAATGTATTGCTGCTGGGTCTTGAGGACTAAATGAACAGATATATCATAACTTTTAATTAATATTACTTAAGAGGTATTACATCTTGTGTATCCTCCCCCCAAACGACTGTATACTTAGGAAAGAGCAGCTGAGCTACACAAACCTGAAAAGTCTCCCTGTGACAGGTTGCTCATTAGAAATATACATGTATATTTGCCATTTGGTCTTCTAGGCACTTGGGCACTGGAAATACAAACGTAGGCAATGCTCTTAGGTATTTTTGGTTAAATGAGAGAAACTACAGTTATACTGGTATAATTGTTATATGGTGGGCCAGGTGTGGTGGCACATATCTGTAACCCCAGCACTTTAAAAGCTGAGGCAGGAGGATGACTGGGAGTTCAAGACCAGCTTGAACTGCGTCGTGAGACCCTGTCTCAAAAAAAGAAAATAAAAAACAAACATGTCAAATACTGTACAACAGTCTAATCACATGTAGGGTTCTATATAGGGTCACAAAGAAAGTCACCAAAGAGTAAGAGGTGTATATCATTTCAGTTGAGTCCAGAAGGGTAAGGAATTGAGTATGAAGAAGGACAGAAGGACACTTCTAAAAGCTAAGTAACATGTACAGAGGCTGGAAAGAATATCTGAAAACATGAAAGACTAAAAGAATTCTTCCTACATTACTCAAACTTCTGTTTTTATTTATTTTGTATTACTCTGTACCTTTGCTGTGGAAAAACTTTGTAATCTTTGACCTGTGTTCATTTTTCATTTCCTAGGATTCCTCCCAGGTGCTACTGCCAGGCATCACCGAGCTGTTATCCTAGACTTACTGCAGGAGGCACTAACAGAAGCAAAATTATCCTCCCAAGACATTGATTGCATTGCTTATACCAAAGGTATGGTTGGGAGAGTGGTCCAGGGGAAGAGTATACCTGGAGACTGACTAGGTTAAAATCGCCTGCTTCTTGCCTTGGCTTCCACCACCTGCCCTATGCTCCCTCAGATCTCCTACTTCCCTCACCTGTTTTTTCTAATCTCTAGAATTCTAACTCCCATTTCTATTTGTGTAGGTCCTGGCATGGGTGCCCCATTGGCTTCCGTAGCGATTGTAGCCCGTACGGTGGCCCAGCTGTGGAATAAACCGTTGGTAGGTGTGAACCATTGTATAGGCCACATTGAAATGGGCCGCCTCATCACTGGAGCCAACTCTCCAACTGTGCTATATGTCAGCGGAGGAAATACTCAGGTATTCAGAGTATTTTACCCATTCCATCTTAATTTCTGAAACACTCAACTAGCAGCTTCCTTGTTTTCCCTGAGTTGTAGGGAACTACAAGAACAAAGCTGGCTTACCTGAACCTAGGTTATTGTAGGAGACTCACAACAGAGTTTATAAAATTGCAGATTTGGACAATGTTACAACATTTACAGTCATTAGAACATTCATTGACTTCTTTGTGTGTGTGATTATAAAGTAGGAATTTCCACTTTAGACAAGAATAGTGAGTCCAGGCATGGTGGTGCATACTTGTAATCCCAGCACTCGGGAGGCTGAGACAGGAGGATCACTGTGAGTTCAAGGCCAGCCTAGGCTACATAGTGAGTTCAGAGCCAGCCTGAATTATATGTAATGAGACCCTATCTCAAAACACCAAACATTAAATAAATAGATTTCATTTTTTTGAGGATTTCATTTCTTAGAAGTGTATGCCACCATGCCCAGTGGAATTCATTTTTTTTTAAAGTTCTTTATAAATGATAGAGATATTTTAAATTTATGGGTGAAGCTAAAGTGATTTGGGATACTTTAAATGGCCTCTTAAGGTTGGTATTGTATTGTTTTCTAACAACACCTGATGGGGTTGCTGTTAGCAGTAGTTTATTCAGCATTATCCTCTGCTTGTGAGAGGATGGTGTCCTAAAAGTTTGTGTTAAAATACTTACTAAAGATGAAGTACACATGCCTGTGAAAACTGTGTGGGTGTGTCAGTTGGTAGGGGGCAAGTAGCTGGTTGAGTCTGGAAGGATGATGGGCAAAAAGCGTCAGAGGCTATTGGAGTTGATGATGAAGAGCAGTAGTAGAGTTTTCTTCTTCCCTTTTGAAGCTTGCTCTAGTGTAAGAAACACGGATGATGATTAGGTTGAAAAGGGTGGACAAAAGAAGTAGGAAGAAAGGCAAGATTTTTCCTTCCCTCTTTGTCACCAGCCTTTTGGTAGCAAATTAAGATCAATATCAGAAAGAAAGGAAATCCCTAACACTGCCAGGAAGGGAAAGGGACTTCTTAATGTTCATTTCATATTGGAAGTTTTATTGACCACCTTAGTGCTTTTCAACTGTCTTCCCCAAAGTCATATACTCCTCTTTGCAGCCTTGAGGTTTCATGGACATCCTTATCACCCTTAGGTCATTTCCTACTCAGAACATCGGTACCGAATCTTTGGGGAAACCATTGATATTGCTGTGGGTAATTGTCTGGATCGCTTTGCTCGAGTGCTGAAGGTAAGCCATTGAGGCTGCAGAGAAACTAAGATAGGGGTGAGTTTCTGGGAAACATTGGAAATGGAAGTAAGTAGCTTCTTATGCTTTCTGGATGTCTGACTTCATTGTCATTGTCTTCCACTTACTGTTTTATTGTTGTGGCTGTTGTATCAAGGATTGAACCCAGGGCCTTGGCACTGAGCTGCATCCCCAGCCCTTTTATTTTGAGAAGATCTCACACTTAGTTGCCTGGGCTGGACTCAAACTTGTGACCTTCCTGCCTCAACCTGGAATTATAAGCATTTTTTTTCCCTTATGGAATTATAAGCGTTACTTTTATCTTTTTTTATTCCACATGGGTGGATAATTAAGATACTTTGGGTATATTTTTTTTGTTGTTTTTTTCTTATCGGGGATCAAACTCAGGTCCTTGCACTTGAGAGGCAGGCAGTGGCACCACTGAGCTAAATCCCCAGCTTTGTGTATATTGTTTATGTTAATACATGTGTATTTTGCATATGTGTCTATTGTGTACAATTCTATAAAAATCTTTATTAATGGTTATTCTTCAACTTGGTGTGGTGAAACACTGCAGAATGGCAAGTGTATATACAGATGTATAACAATATTATTTCTGTACTTTGTTCATATTTGTATGGTTATTGTTTTTATTTGTTTTGTTTTTGTTTTTGGTGACCCTGGAGATTAAACCCAGGAGTGCTGTACCATGACCTTTATCCCAAGCCCTTTTTTTCTTTTTTCTTTTGAAAAGGGTCTTACTAAGTTGTCCAGGCTGGCCTCAAATTTGCAGTCCTTCTGCCTCAACCACCTAAGTAGCAGGGATTACAGCTATGTGCCACCACGCCCAGTTGATTATGTACTTTTTCTTTTCTCTTCTGGTAGATTTCCAATGACCCAAGTCCAGGTTACAACATTGAACAGATGGCAAAACGGTAAGAAGACATAAGTGGAAGAAGGCAGCTGGTTTTGAGGTTTTAGAGATTTCCCTGTGTATGGGTTTGGTAGGGGTGATGAAAGGTTTTATCTCTTCCTACATAGAGGCAAGAAGCTAGTTGAGCTGCCATATACTGTAAAGGGGATGGATGTCTCATTCTCAGGGATTCTATCTTTCATTGAGGTGAGTGTCAGAGAGGTAAGGAGACAGAGGCATCTTCATGCTCTTTTCTAGCAGACTTTTTTTTTGGTACCAGGGATCGAACTCAGGACCTTGCACTTGTGAGGCAGGTGTGGTGCCACTGCGCCAAATCTCTGGCCCTTCTTCATGCTCTTTTAGTGACGCATATCTGTTTTGTTCACCAATGTATTTCCTGCATATAGCACTGGTCTATGTTGGATGCTGAATGTATCCATTTAGCAAGTATTCACTGAGTACTTTTTGTGTGCCAGACACTGTTCTACGTAATAGACACACAGCACGGAGCAAAAGAAAAATCTGCCTGTGGTTGGGTGGAGGGGGGATTGAACCTTGGGCCTTTGCACTGAGCTACATCCAAAGCCCTTTTTAAAATTTTTAAAATTTTGGGACAGAGTTGTGCTAAGTTGCCCAGGCCGGGCTTTAACTTGTAGTCCTCCTGCCTGAGCCTCCCAGAGTGCTGGGTCAGAGACACACACCACCATGCATGGTTCTGTTCATTCTTTAATTGTAGAATGCAGCCCATCGGATGTTAGCCACAGACGAGTGTACTCCTGAGGATCTGTGTTTCTCCCTCCAGGTAATGGAGTGAAAAGCTGGGAAGTAGAGGCTGGAGAAGCTTTTATATGACAGCAGAACCAAGCTCAGATGCCCCTGTGATGTTTTCACCTCATCTGTTCTCCACAGGAAACTGTGTTTGCAATGCTGGTGGAGATCACAGAGCGAGCCATGGCCCATTGCGGCTCCCAGGAGGCCCTCATCGTGGGAGGTGTTGGATGTATGTATCAGTGAACATTTTCTCCTGCCTCGTCTTGGCATTGGGCAGCTTCCTTCTGAGGTTCTAAATTGCTAAAGTTTGGGGGAAATTGCTTGCCTGTCCTTCCCAATCCTTGTGCCTAGTCCTAAGTGCACAGGAAGTGTGTAGTGGGCTAGGAAGGGATGGTTAGAGCAGACCCTGTCCCCTCCCTTCCGTAGGTAATGTGAGGCTGCAGGAGATGATGCAGACGATGTGCCAGGAACGTGGAGCCCAGCTTTTTGCCACAGATGAGAGGTAAAAAGCCTTTTCCCTTTTTTGAGTTCCTTTTTCTTTTACTATTATTTTTATTTTCTGCTCTTGGGTTACAAGTTTCATATCTCTTTCTTTTTCATTGTAGATTCTGCATTGACAATGGAGCCATGATAGCCCACGCTGGCTGGGAGATGTTTCGGGCTGGACACAGGACCCCTCTCAGTGATTCTGGGATTACACAAAGGTGAGTCTGTCTTTGGAGGGGGTAGATAGGAGCAGGTATGGGAAGAAAAAAAAAAAAAATCAACAGAAGAAAAGTCCAGGAACCTGAGACTAGAGAAGAAAGGAAAATACTCAGGGATAGTTTCCCACCACATGTTTCCTGTTTTTCCACAGGTATCGAACAGATGAAGTAGAAGTAACATGGAGGGACTAACAAGGTTAACAAGATCAGAATAGGTAGTTCCCTGAGTGGAGCTCATAGGACCCTGGGCGTTAATCTCTCTCCTGATGTGGGAATCCTGGCCATGCTGTGAACTCCCCTTTCCCTTGGGAAGACTGTGGATACCACAAAAGGTTTGGGGTCCCCTGTAGAACTTCAAGATGAATCAGCAATAAAATACTTTTTTTTGGTATTGAGAATGGAATGCAGGACCTTACTCTTGCAAGGCAGGTGCAGCACCACTGAGCTAAATCCCTGGCCCAGTAATAACTCCCTGTGCTGACTGCCTCATACTCATTTTAATTTTTTGAAGTAGGTGTTCAGGACTTCCCTCAAAATATCCTGGAGATAAATCTGATTTGAAACTCAAAGATGAAACTGTCCCTTCATACACTTTGTGCCACATATTCCCACACATCATCGCCAGCAAATGTGATTGGGCCCCATATATACACTCCTCCCTATCATGACCACCAGAATTATTAATCTTGCCCTTTATCTTCAGTATATCACCACAAGAAGTCCCAAACCACCATCACCTTATCTTACACTCTAGTATTCATACATTTCTTCTCCCTGTGTTTGGTTCCCATCTGCCTGCCTTTGCCAACTCCTGAAAGCTTACTGCTTACTCCAGAACTAACAGCCAGTCATTTGCAAAGCTTCTTATATTCTCCACCTCTTGCCTACACCTCTTTGAATGTTTCCTTACCGTTCTTGCTTTGAGACCTGGTTTCTCATGAGGACTCCTATCACCTCGCTAATATAGGTGATTTCCACATGCATTGTAACTTTAGGCCTGGAAGTGGTGCAGGTGTATTTGTTCTTTTTATACTATTTCCAGACCATCCTTCCTCATCCCTGATACCCATTTGAAGCATTAGATATCCTGGACCTATACCACTCTTGTCATAAAGCTTGATTTCAGTATCTGTGTAGATCACTCCTCTAATGTCCACTTCAACAACGCACTGCCTTGGTCATAGTCTAGGCCTGTATTTCCCTCCTATCTCACTCTCAGATGTCCCACTCTCCTACCATTGTCTCCTGTCTTTCCAGATGATTCCCTTTACATTGTTGAGTCCAGCAATTCATCCTTTCAGTGGGGCCTATAGTCTTTTATTGTACTTTGCACCCACTTTATTCCCCATCTTCATTTCCTTTCTTCTCTAGCTAAATTCCAGTAATAAACACCGTATTGCATATACCTTATCTCCCTTGCCTGTGTTTTACTTTGACCACACGACTACTTTCCAGCATCGGTGCTCATAGACTTGGCCTTCCTTCATGTTACCATAAACCAGTAGCTCTCAAGTAGGGCTGATTTTGTACCTCAGAGGACATTGGGTTGTCACAATAGGGTAGAGATATTGTAAAGTACCCTGTAGTACACGGAAGCCCCTGCACCTCTCCCCGACAAAAAATTTATGCACAAAATGTCATTGGTGTTGAGGCTGAGAAACCCCGCTGTGAACAGTGTCCTTCCTGTCTACAGTTTTGTGCTGTAGACATATCCTCTAGCTTTTAAGGACCTGGCTCAGCAGTTCTCCAGCCTTCTTCCTCCTTTTCCATGGAGTCAGTATTGTCCTTTCTGTCTTCAGGCGTCACATCAGCATATAAATATTCTATTTTTCTCATTTTACAAATGACACCTCCTGGCCTCATTTCCCCTTTCAACTGCTTCTCATTTTGTACTCTACTTTATAGCAAAACTTAAGAGTTCTCTCCAATAATTTCTTATTAAACCTACTCCACTGGAATTGTTCCTACCATGGTTACTAATGACTTGGTTATAGGTAAGTCCAGTGGCATAGTCTGCTTTATCTTACAGTCTGTCAGTATTTGGAAGTATTTTCCTTCTCTGGCTTTAGAATATATTTTCTGCTGCTTCCTACTTCACTGTTCTGTTTTGTGCTGGTTTCTCTTTATCTCTATAAGCTGTTAACTTTCCAGAGTTCAGTCCTCGGACTGCTCTTATTTATACAATCACTTAAAGTGATTTCATCCAATCTTATGGTTAAACTACGTAAGAGGCTAAGTTAGAAGGATCATAAATTTGAGGCCAGCCCAGGCAACTTATTAAAAATAAAGCTGACCATAGGAGGCTGAAGCAGGAGGATTGTGCCTTGGGCCCTAACCTGGGGAGCTTAGTGATTTAGCATGATTCGGTCTGAATGGGCTCGGGGTGTAACTGTGAAAGCCCTAGATTCATTGTCTAGTACCACAGAAATTAATAGGCTAAGGATGTAGCTCAGTGGTAGAATACTCCTGGGTTTCATCTCCAGTAGTTCCCCCACCAAATTATTATTATTATTTATGCTACTGGGAATTGAACTTGGGACCTTGCGCTTGTGAGGCAGGCAGCAGAACCACTGAACTAAATCCCTGGCCCCAAATTACTTTTGATATGGGTGACTCCCAGTTTTATAATTCCAATTGGACTTCTGTCCTGAATATCTAGCTGCCTGTAACCATCTCCACTTGGGTATTTAGTAGGCATTTTATTTATTTATTTTATTTTAATTTGAATTTTTTGGGTTTTTTGAGACAGGGTCTCTCTATGTAGTTGACTCTGACCTGAAACTCACTTTATAGCCCAGGCTGGCCTCGAACTCACAGTGATCCTCCTGCCTCAGCCTCCTGAGTGCTGGGATTACAGGTGTGCGCCACCACACCCAGCAATAGGCATTTTAAATTTAACATCCTGATTTGCTTCCTACATCAGGAAAAAACAGTCCTTTAAAGGCCTGAAAGGGGCTGTGGATTTAGGTCAATGGCTCTGTGTCTCCCTCTCAAGTGCAAGGTCTTGAGTTCAACCCCCAGTACTGAAAAATAAATAAATAAAGGCCTGAAAGACCATGCAGGGGGAAAAAAAAAACAAAACAATAAACCAAGAGAAAAAAAAGAAAAAGGCATGGTGGTGCACACCTGTAATCCCAGCACTTGGAGGCTGAGGCAGGAGGATCGCAAGTTTGAGGCCGGCCTGGGCAGTGTAGTGAGGCAGCCTGAACTGTATAGTGGGACTGTCTCAAAAACAAAGCAACAAGAAAAATGCATGTCCTGCCTTGCCTTTTACCATTTCCATGTTGGCCTTGTCTCCTGCTACTCCTTTTTCTTTCTCCTCAGCAACATAGGCCTTTTGGTTGTTCCTTAGGGGAATGGTCCCCAGCCTTTTTGGTGCCAGTGACCAGTTGCATGGAAGACAATTTTTTCACAGAACAGGGGAAGGGGATATGGTTTCAGGGTCTTTCCCTTTTCTGAAAGAAACTCCAGTGAAGTTTGTTTTTACTTGTTTGGCTAGTGTTAGCTCATGGACTTACCAGAACTGACGGAGACAAATGCACAGTACCGGAAAGAAGTGACAAAAGTGCTAAATAAAGTAGTGGGTGGGCCACAAGCAGACTAGTGTCTGGTTTAAAGCCTGCCACCAGATGCAGCTTAACTGTCACTCAGCACTCGCTGGTAGGGTTCTCGTACAGGTCTGTAAACAGTTGATTTCTTTAGGTCTCTGTGCAGTCAGACCTCCGTGCTAATGTTAATCTGCATTTGCAGGTGCTTCCCAGCACTCATCACCAGCTCAGTTCTGCCTCAGATTCGCATAAGGAGTGTGCAGCCTAGATTGAACGCGCAGTTCACAGCAGGGTCCTTGCTCCTTTGGCAGTCTTGTGCCACTGCTCATCTTCCTGGAACCAGAGCTCACATGGTCATGCGAGTGATGGGGAGCAGCTGGAAGGACAGGAGTCTTCACACGCACTCCTCCCCCATCCCGCCCACCACCTACTTTGCAACCCCTTCCCTAACCGGCAAGGGGAAGTGGGAGGGACTTACGGACTGCAGATGCGCTGACCCTCAAGGCCTTTATTTCTGCTCCTTCCCTTGTGCTCTTCCCTGGGTAAAGGTCAGTCCATCATATTCTTTTAAGTCTCAGCTTTTTTAGTGAAAACTTCCCACCAACCCTGCTTAGACTCTCACTTCTCTAGCACTTCTAAACCCTCTTCCTGTTTTACTTTTCTTCCTACTTGTTTTATTTATATTACACTGTAAACACCATGGGGATTGGGACATTTTTATCTTATTTCATGCATTACTGTATCAACCAGTACTTAAGAGAGTGACATCTACTGGGCATTCAGTTTGTGAATGAATAAGTCAATAGGAAAGTAAACCAAAGATAGGATCAGAGGACTATAAAGTAAGATTTGAACCAAAAGATAAAAAGAAGGGATCATGTGAGTTTGGGGAAAGTGTTAATCTCTCATGTTCTACTAAATAGAAAGTGGATGTGTATACTTTTTTATTTATGAGGGATAGACACAGATTGGTTAAAAATGCACTGAGAAATGAAAGTTTAAAATTAGAAACTAGGATAGAAGATGGAGTAGGACACAATTAAAGGTTAAATCTTCTCTTTGAATATGTTGGAGAATAAGTGCTTTCTAGGCTTAGGTATTAACTTTGTAAATGGGCAGCAGCTATATTACTATACATCCTCAGGTATTGTTTTATTAACACTATGAGGTGGATGGATTTTAGAAAAAGGATCTTCAGTACTGTGGCCCAATTCACATTGCTTAGTAGGGGAGTTCTTTCCTTGGGAAGCCTTGAGTTCTTGCCTGAGAATTCTTAAGGATAACCTCTTAAGTTTGTGAAGCTAAGAAACTGAAATCAGGCCAGTATGTAGCTCACTGGTAAAGCAGTTAGTTGCTTGACACGTGAGACCTTGGTTTCTTGCCAAAGCACCACAAGAAAGGAAAGAAAGAAAAAGGAAATAAATCAAAACTCCTTGAACCCTAAACTGTAGGGTCCTCTTCCTGGCTTAATCTCTTCTCCTTCGGCTCTGACAGGCAGGATAGGGTAAAGGCATCCTTTTGATTTCCACAAATGAAGGCAGTGGGGCATGTCAGGTTCACTGATGCTAGAGGTCAAACCCAGGGCTTCTACATTCCCAACCCAGGAACTAGAAATTTTGCCTGTTTACTGGCTTATTTTTATACTTCTCTCGGCAGCAAGTGTCTTAATACACTTCTTTCCCATTATTGTCTTTTTTTTTTTTGCATTGTAGGCTCCTGGCCATAACTTTGGGGTTCTGTGTTCCATTCACTGCATTTTCGCCTCCAGCCACATTTTTCCTTTGGGGAGCTGTTCACAAAAAGTCTTAAAGGACATTGAGTCCATTTTTTTCTTCACGTTAGTACATAGGGGATCAGTATAGTTAGCCCTGTGAAGATAAGAAAAGAGATGCAGCATGCAGTCTCTCAAGTGTAATCTTCACACCTGGGAGACTGAGACAGGAGGATCCCTGTGGGTTCAGGGCCAGCTTGAGCTACAATGTGAGTTCAAAGCCAGCTTGGATTACAGAGTGAGATCCTGTCTCAAAAGAAAAAAAGAAATTGGCAGCTTTCCTTCCCACATTGTCATGGGGCTGAGATAGAAAAACATGAAGACTTCTGAAGTGAGAGGGAGCATCGGGTGTTTTGTAAATGCAGGGTTTGTTTTCATATATATATATATTCACTAATTTCCTCTTCCTGAACTTGGAGAGAAATGGACCTTTTTTTTTCTTTTTGGTACCGGGGATCTAACTCAGGACCATTTACTTGCCAGGCAGGCATAGTGCCACTGAGCTACATACCCAGCCCGAGAAATGGAACTTCTTGACGACGTTTTAGAGTCTTGCCTTCACTGTTACTGAGCTAGTACCTGTCCTGCTTGCACTGGAATGTATTTGAGGCTGCTGGTATAGGGATGCTGCTCAAAGAAAGGAGAAGCCTGATCCAGATTGCTTATCCAGCTTATCAACTGCTCGAACTCTTACCTTCTCCCCTGACAGAATTGTTTGCTATTCCAGAGAAATGTCCTATGGTGTGTCTTCCGCTGACTAACTGCATTCCCTTTTCTATTTACTTTCCTGTGGGCCTGCTGCTTCTCTTCACTCTCCAGCTTTATTTCCTGTAAAGGAGAATCTGTATCCTCTCCCTGCTGAGTGAGTGTTCATTACTTTGGCATCCAAATGCCATGTATTTACTGGAAAAGATGGGGTTATAACAAAAAAATTATCTTTTTTTACCTTTCCTTGGACCCACTCATTCAGTGAGGACGCGCCAAATGTAAGCTAGCAAGAGGTACAATACTATTAGAATTGGGTATTCCCACAAACCCTGCTGTAGAATTAGACCATACTCCTTCTTGACCACATTAGTGCATCCTACTATTTGTAGCTCCTGATTCACATTTCTCCCCTGTGAACTTAAAAGATATCTTTAAACCCTTCTCTATCCCCTAAAGTTTCAGGAAAACTAAACATCTAGGTAGAATCTTCAAAACAAAATTCATTTTTCTTATATCTGGTTCCCAGTTCTATTCAGTCTCAGATCTTTTTAACTGTAAATGGTTCGCTTGCCTCCCAGACCTTTTTTTTTGGTACCGGAAATTGAACGTAGGACCTTGTGCTTGCATGGCAGGTGGCAGTACCACTCAGCTCAATCCCCAGCCCTTGCCTCCCAGACTTTGATGGCCAATTTCTATACCTCCTACACCCTCTCCTAGGCTCACCTCTTCTGACTCACCTTGAGAATAGTGGGTAGCCACACTTAACTCTCCTGGCAGCCTTAAGAGGTAGACATCATAGTTGTAGGCAAAGGCATTGCTTTATGGGAGGA